CATTCTTCGTGCAAGATTTCATTTCTTGCGGAGAGAAAAAGAAGCAGCTAAACTCTAAAAACCGAGTTCAGAAATCGCCATGAAATGTCATTCATTCAATCCACTAGTTCGATTTTAAGAAAATGTCGTTCTCGATAACATCGACGTGAAATGTGATCGGTCCATTCGATACCATCATATCAGTGCTAGGAAAGCTGAGAGTTAGAATGTCACTAAGAGACGTCTGTCTGCAGAGACAAACGCGGGTAGGCAATAAAGGATCTTAAGGGTTAAAGAGCAGCACTTATTGATGAAGCTACAGTCTGGGGAAGAGCGTTCGCAAGCAGCATCGAAAGATTGTCGATTACAAAACCCAAGATGATTGCACTCCGACGCCTAGACGGAACACTTATGCCTTCTAGAAAGGCAATGGAAAAAGTTATTCGTGATTAATACTCAGATCGCTGCGATAACCACCTCTTCTTGCTATCATATTAAGGGAAGACGGATATGTGCTACCACCGGTTCTCCCTTCCGAAATCGGTCGTGTTGTTTCGTCGGTGAAAAATCGAACAACAACAGTTCCGGAGAGGATAAGATCTGAACGCCTGAAGAACAGACCGCTTGTCCTCGTGAACACACAGCCTCGGTTTTTCACACGTTGTCTGCTTGAATCCAAGGGTCCTAGTCACTGGAGGATAAACTGGACCGTACCATTATTCAGGAATCCTCCATCATATCGGCAACTATTGCTCAATCTGCTTTCAGTGTATCGTCTGCAAAGTTTTCACTCAAGTCATGCTGATTATGGTTGAAAGACGCTGGACGGAGGATGGCGATGTGAGTAGGAATGGTTTCGAGAAGGATTCGGTAAGATGGACCACATCCACACGATAACAACACTCAATGAAGCATCGCGAGAGTACAACAGACTGCTCTGTCTTAATTTCATCAATTGAAAGAAGGCTTTTGACTCAGTTGAGAAAAAGGCAGTTGAAGAAACGTCCACTCTCACTATATAAAGATTTTTCTTGAGCCATGCAAAAATTTCACAATTGAGATATCACATTCTACAAGAGAATTAACATTGACTTTAAAAAAGAGGTTAAGCAAAGCGGTACCTTCTCCCCGAATTTATTCATAGCCATCCTCAGAAACGTCCCACGAACACTGAAATGGGTCAACATGAGAGTGAAAGTTGATGGTCGGCAATATGAATATCTCCAAACGCTCCAGCATCCCCTATCAACGTCGGGAAATCAGCGTAATGAACGACTTAGCACCAGAGCTGAGCAGGAGTAATTGAGTGGCTTGCGGAGCCTTCAACAGCACCGAGGATGTAGTGAAAAGAACAAAGAACGCCTGACTCTATACCCACTTTGTCGATTTCACGATTCTTCCTGCTTTAACGTATCCGTCAGAAACCTGATTGCTGTGTAAGCAGGATGAAAGTTCACTAAGTGCTACTGAACGCGCAGTCGAAATGACGACGCTACGAGTAGCTCTTTTCACAGAACTAAGGGAAGGAATCCTGAAAACTGCGAAAATCGCGTTTTTTGGGATTTTGGCGTACAGTCCGTCTGCATGCGAAACACTCGTCCTCGTGGGCGGTATCTTGTCCTGCGGACGGACACGTTCGGAGGCGTTTTATAGTGTCGGAACGGACAACTTGTCCACTTCGAGTGGGCGATCGCTTTTTTCATTTTTCTCGCTTAAAACGCATTTTTGGGTAATTTCCTGGCACCGCTCCTCCCTCTCCGGCACCACCTGCGTCAACGATCAAAAATCAAAGATGCCGTTCTGTAGTTCAAACGATCAAAGGTAAAGTGGGCCGGACACGTAATGCGCATGAATGACAACCGATGGACACGAGCCGTTAGTGGCTGAATTCCTTGGGATGTCAAAAGTACTGAAGGAAGACTACCGACTCGATGGTTAGAATCCTTCACAAAGAGTTTAAAAGAAAGAAATAATGCTCAACGAGTCATTAGAACGAACAAAACCTACTGGGCTACTACTAGGCGCGACAGGGAAAAATGGAAGATTTGCTGATGCCCGCTTGAGCAACTCGACGATCAGTGGAACTACAATTGATACAAATGATTTCATTTTTCATTTCAGTTTGATGCTCTTTCGTTAACTCGTTGTCCAAGGATAATAATAAAAAGGTTTTCCTCCAGCAAATCCATCCTCCAACAGTCGGCGCTGTAATAACTTTTACATAATGACGCAGTACCTCTATAAAAACGACTTCAGTTTGACCATAAGATAAGCTATCAATGTCTTGTTCAACCGACTAGATAAAACGGCTTGTTATGCAAGTTAATTTGGAAAGCGTTCTTGTTTTCCTTAGAGCCGCACTGATTCGAGTCGAGTGTTTATGTTTGTCGATTCGTGTTAAAGGGCACCCTATATAAAATGGCACTGTCGAGTAACGTTGCCTCATTCTAACGAAAATTCGCACCATTCTTTCGTCTCGATCCGACTGAGAAGGCACAAATCGTGCTAAATGTGGACTGATTAGAAT